TCCGCCCCCCCCTGCCGTTTCCTGCGGGCAGCTGCCGTGTGTGTTTGCGCAGGGTCCAGCACGAGGAACTGGAAGGGACGGGACAGGCACCAGTTACTTAACTCAGTAAGCAGAGTTAGTAACTCCGCCAGTACTCCCAGCTCAACGTTGGTGCAGGTCCGTGTCTACGCAGTCCAGGTGCGGCACCAGGCTCTGTGGAGGTTCCTCTTTGCAGCCTGTGGCTTCTCACCACGATGATTTGTTTGGCCTCTGGTGTGTTCCGGCAGGACTGTCGGGGAGGAAATGTTTTGTAGACAGTCCGGATGGATTTTCTGGCAGAAAATCTTTCATCTTTCCAGAGATGAAATGCAAATGTAGGCGGAGGAGCTCTGCTTTCTGCCATGGCACTTCAGTGAAGTTCTGTGAACGTGCGATGCCCACCAAAGAGTGTGGGATTCGCATAGATGAAAATCAGTATGGTTCTGTGGAAAATGTAAGTCTAGAATGCTGGACTGGTGGGTTGTGAGTTGCCTGTTCACTTGTGTTGTTCCTGAGAATTAGTTGAATTTTAAGCTATCCATGTACAGCAGTTCAGAAACCATATTGGCCAACTTCAAACAAACATGTTCTAGGTGGGCATTAGCAGAGTTTTGGAAATGTAATCTGGCCAAAATAGAATTCAAATCTCTGCATCTTGTGAGTTAAAAGAGAAGCAGAATGCTCTCAGCATGGTAGTGTTGTGTCATCTGGGCTAAGTCATGGCTCTGGCGTGCCGAGGAGATGCTTACGGGGATTCAGCTTTTTACATCGTAGATGAGTAAATACACGGCTTGTGTTGTGCAGTGACTTTGTGTTGTGCAGTGACTTTGTGTTGTGCAGTGACTTTGTGTTGTGCAGTGACTTTGTGTTGTGCAGTGACTTTGTGTTGTGCAGTGAGTTTTCACACGTGATCTCTTCCCTGGGAACACTTCTCTCTGAAATACGCCCGTTCTGTTTGTGCCTCAGTTCTAAGCCTGTTAGTAGAAAGCTGCTGCTGAATTGCACTGAGTTCTGAGCCTTAACTTGAGTGGTATGTAGGAATTAGGGCTGACATCTGAGGAGAGCACTGGTTGAGTAGGGATTTTAGGGATGTGGGAAACAGCATGTTTCCCTGTCGCACAGTGTATAGGGACAATGCTTCACCATTAACAGAAAGTGTTTTGGGTTTTTTTTCAACCAAGTCTTAATGGGGTGAGAGCCTCTTGAAATTCACAGCAATGGTGTTATTCTTCCGTTTGTTACTTGTGTCTCTAAGTCTGGTGGGGTGAGTGCAAGTGTACACACGTGCACCACTTGTGTGGACACCACCACCACTCTCCTCATGCTCCATCCTAATTCCAGGCCCACCAGATGAGTGCCAGGCGTGCCCCTGCCTGTGCCCACGGTCGTGTCAGCGTGACTGAGGGTCCAGCACTTCGGTGCATAACGAGGTCGGCCGTTGCCCCGGGCACACAGGCTGCTCTTGGAGGAAGTGCCCGTGTCCATGGAGCGCAAGGAGGATGGTGCTGATTTTCAAGGCGCTGTTGTCAGCGTCTCTCTCCGTTGAACATCTGCAGTTTCATTTGTGTGTTGCAGCTGGGCGTTTCTCGAGTGAAGAAGTTCCCCTCCTCGGTGTGATTGTGGGTTCAGGCAGCCACAGGGAGCTCTGGTCTCCTGTGACTTGGTCACAGATCTCAAGTGCCTTCTGTTGCAGCTGGTGCCAGCTTGCTGGAGCCTTGTCTTCAAACTGCCTTTGCTCAGCTGGCTTCACAACACGCTATAAATAACACTTTTGCTTCCTGCTGTCTGATGGTGGTGCGAGTTCCCTTTTTGCGTTGAAGTGTAGCAAGAGATTCCACACAAAAAGTACGTGGATATGGCCATCATCTTTTATTTTAAACAAGTGGCTGATTCGTTCTGGGTGAGAGAATCGTTGTATGTGGATAACTTTAATGATCAGGAGTAGGGAAGCTGGTACAGCTACTGTGGTGTTTGGGATCACTGGATTACAATGAAATGTGTCCTCTCTCTTCCCCCCCTTGCTTTCTCTGACCATGCAAAGTTATCCAGATCATACAAGACTATAAGAGTGCTACGGCTTTCCCCTTCCTCCGACACCTGGGGATGGTACAGGAGGAAGGGGAAAGTCACAGCACTTTTTTGTCACTGACTTTGGGTATTAGCTGTGACTCAGAGGGTCAGAGGCCCTTGCCATCTCATTAAGTGTCTTTGTGGCTGGAGTTTAAAGTCCTGAAGTCAAATGCTTCAAGTAGCATAAAAGAGCCAGAGTGGGAGACACCCACATCCATCTGTGCTGCTCTAGTCCCTCAGAAAGTTTTCCAGGATTAGTGCTTCAGGAGACTGAGGTTGACCACTGCTTGTGAACTCCAGACTTGATCAGAAAATACTTCCTCCTCTGCACTTCTGTCTGTCGTGTCTGACACTTGGAGAGCTTCCTGCTGTGGGAGCCTGAGACCTTGTGTGATTTCTTCCAAGAGTCACAGAACACACTGCAGTGCCATCACAATTTTATTGGGTTGATGATGACATGGAGATTTTTGGTGTTTCTCCTCTGCCTCAACATATTCCATCTTTAATGTGTTTGTAACTTGGGAGCGACAGGAGAAGTGGAGTGGGAATTCTTTTCAGGGGAGACAGATGGATGGATCAGTGGCCTCTACATCCATGTCTACTAATTTGTTCAGTTCCCACTGTAGTCAGAATGGGAATAATGCAACTTGAGGTCTGTATTCATCCAGAGTTACTGGAATAGTAGCATGTTACTGAATTTTCTTTATATGCTGGCAAGAAATGGGGATTGAGGTATTATAATTTAAATTCAGACTGCTTTATTTTAATGGAGAAAAAAGTTTCCTACTTGTGTTGTGTTCAAGAACTCCATTCTTGGCAGGCAGGGAGCCAGATCTGGAGCTTAGCCTCTGGCTGCACCGCTCGGAGTCCAGCGACATAGTTTGTAAAGTAATCTTTCAGTGACCTATTATCCCTTGGATGCTGAACACAGCACAGTGTAACAGTCCCATAGGTCATTAGTCTATTTTTAGGGGGTCCTTAATCTGCAGAGCTCTGAATTTTGGAAGCCTTTAATCCATTGATCCCTGCAAGTGCTCTAATTTTTCATGCTAAGCAAAAATAATAAAAAAAAAAATCCATATGCAAAGCAGTTGCTGCTTTATGGCTGATCTGAGGTAACTCAACTCTTAAAAAACGTGTCTGACAGGTAATGTCTGTTGTAGCAAGCACTGGGGCGGAGCAGGTGGCGAGGACAGGCCTTGCAGACCTCTGTTCTAGATGTCACGACTTCTCAAATGGAGCAATTTCAGTCAAGTGACTGACTTCAGACATCGACGTGGAAGAGGAAAACACACCTTTGTGCTGTGAACCACGCCAGTGTCACTGCTCCCAGAGTTCTCCTTCAAGGCAAGCTGTGAGCAGAGAGGCAAGGCTGTTTACTGGTTGCAGTAAGAAACTGCAGCTGGGATTCCTGCGTTCAGTTTCTGCTTCTTACCTTGCTGGGTAACCTCAGCCTCGCTGTTTGGTCGGTGCCTTAGTCTTCTTTGAAACAGGAACATTTCTGGTTTCACTTCTTTTGATGCAGGTGGATTTAGCTCCATTGCTATCAAAAAGGGTGGTGGTCCTGTTGGTAGGAGGTGCAGATAATGGATTATTGCTTAAAAACTTGTACAAGTACTGGATACTGAGGCCAGGCATAGATCCTGAGAAGACCCCGTTTTACTGCCCCGTACCCTCTCTCCCACGTTACTCCTGTGCCCTAAATTCATCTTGACAATAGTGATGAGGATCTCTTGTCCACTGCCTTAAAGAGTTGAAAATTGTCTTTATTTGTCTTCCCTCCCCTTTCCCAGATGCAAACTGGAACAGATCTAAATGCGAGCCAAGGAGGATCCTGTTTGGTGGCCGTTTGAGATCGTGGGAAGATCACCATTTACAGCTTCTGGAAGGATTTCATACTGTAAGGTCCTGTCAGACTGCCTGCTGCCAGAGCCCCACCTGTGATGCCTTTTGGTTCTTGGAAAATATGTGCATCCAGGTGAATTGCACTATGCCTGGCATGTGTCGGGCAAACAGGACTGGCTCTTCTGACTCTGTTTTGGTGTTTTTAAAGAAATCAAAAAGCACTGAGCACTTCTCCAAGTTTCAGACGGAACATGATGTGAAGACCTGGTTTCACAAGTGGTTGGACTGGGACATCCCTGTCCAGGGGAAAAAAAGACTGCGGAGGTCGTTCCGGAAGAGGAGCTTGGCAGGTAACAGGATGGAAATCCTGAAAAGGAATGTAGCAGTGAGCCCTGGCGGTGAGGCTGCAGCCAGAGCATCAGGCAGCAAGTCGAGAAGCCGCCGAAGTGCAGTGGAGCACTCGAAGGACCGAGTGGCAGACAAGCCTGTCCCTGACGACCGTCCAAACCAAAAGAAAGACTCGCTGAAACAGGGACAGAATCCAAGAGAGCAGAAAACCAAACCCCTGCTGCCTCCTGAAAGCAATAACGTGACTAGATGGAGTGATGCACACAGCGGTGGTTTGCCACAGGTGAGTGTGATCGCTGGGGCCGGCGGGGGCTGCCGTGCTCGGCTGTCACCCGCCTGCTCGGTCCTGCCTCGTGGAGACCTTGCCTTAAACCCACACAGGTGGTAGAGTGCCTTTCTGGATGCCTGTTTTCAGCCTCCTGTCAACAAGGCAAGGCCAAGGGTTGGGTTTGTTGTCTTTTTTTTCCGGGGTTAGGGGTGTTTTTCCCCCCCCTCTTCCTAGCTGGGAGAAACTGTCTTTGGAAGGTGAGGGGAGATGGAGGTCAGGACTGCACAGCGTACTTGCCAGATGGGCAGGAAAGGTGAGATGTGATGGCAGTGGGAGTTGAAAACTTGTTACCTGTAAAAATACTTTTTTAGATCCACAAAATAAAATAAACTGTTTTCCTTTGAGTGCTGAATTGAGGCAGTTAAATACGTTATTTTGTAGACTCAGAGTTTCCAGCGTACTTTCCTGTCAGCCTGCTTGCTTGAGTTGGCATCTTAATGCCAAATTTTTTGTTCTGTTTTGAAGACTGCTTCAGTTTCTCAAATCCACAAAAGCTTACATTGCTATTGGTTAAGTGAAACCAGTTTAGTATCTACTCCAAACATATATACACTGTAAATCTAGATGTTAGTCTTCAAGAGAAATTGGCACATTCAATCATTAAATGATGTTCGTATTTTTAAATCTACAAACAGTTTTTTGAGCCCTATCACGCAAAAAAGCCCATGCACCTGTGATGATGAAATAGAAAGAATTCTACATTGCGAAACTGTTCTGTAAATGCCTTTTGCTGTGTTTCTAGGATTTGGTGCTGTTGAAGCCTGATGCCTTTTCCTGTAGTTACGTTCTTGTTCTGGAAACTTGACTGAATTTGTTTCTCTCCCTTGTATTCAAACACTGGTTCCAGGTAGGGCTGTGACTGGTCTGAGCCACCACCCTGCAGAGCAGGATGTGGAGAGCAGCCAAGGGACGCCCCTGGGAGCTCCAGGGCAGCCCGGGTGGTGTGGGAAACCATCCACTGAAACTTTACAAACGTTTGATTTTCCGGAACCCCACAGCATTGAGGGCTGACTCAGGATCTCGGCTTTCTTCAAACACTGGTTCCAGGTAGGGCTGTGACTGGTCTGAGCCACCACCCTGCAGAGCAGGATGTGGAGAGCAGCCAAGGGACGCCCCTGGGAGCTCCAGGGCAGCCCGGGTGGTGTGGGAAACCATCCACTGAAACTTTACAAACGTTTGATTTTCCGGAACCCCACAACATTGAGGGCTGACTCAGGATCTCGGCTTTCCCTTTCCCCTGCAATATTGCAGCGTTTCCACCCTGCCTCTTCTTTCCTCCTGGTATTTGAGACTTACACAGTGACCCTGTTCTCCCAGACGTTGCATGTATAACAATGGGAGAGGTTTCTTCCCAGCCACTCTCAAGTGTCTTCTGTTGCTCTTGGGTAATAATTGTTTTATCTCCCTGCTTGTTCAGTTTGCAGTGTTGCATTCTGAGTGTGTTTGTGACAGTAAACTGGTTGTAAATATTATTGAATAACATGGATTAATCAGCTTCTGAATATTGCTGAGTATCCAGGATTTCTTATCTTTAGGATATGCTCTCCATTGTCATTAAGGTGTATTTTTGGTTGTATGCTGGGAAGAGGTTTTTCTTCTCCTTACTGTTTTTTACTAGTAGGAAAGTCTGGATCTCTTGACAAAAGGAGGTTCATCAAAATAAAAACTTCATACTAAAATATATTGACTGTGATGGAATTCCTGGTAGTCACATTTTTTTGAGGTTTAGGATAGAGTTTTTGAGGAGGAGAAAGAATTAAAAAATCCACCTTAACAGGATTATTGAGTTGAAGGTGGTTCTACCCAGCCCTGGGCTAATTCCTTGATTATCGAACCATCCAACTTTCACTGGCAAAATATTTGGCAAGCTATGGAGCTGTCCTTGCATTTCTGATCTGAGAGCAGTTTAATTTAGGCCAAGGATGTAACATTCAAGGCTGTGTACTTGGGACACGGCCAGCCTTTGCAGGAGAGAGATGCTAAAACAGGAGTTTTCCAGGTTGGGTTGGTTATGGGCCAGAATGAAGTAACACACGTGCTGGAATCAGTAGAATTTCACCTGGGCTAGGTTTGGTCCAGTACATGGAGCATATGGCTTCAGCAGGCGAGCGTTTTTTGCATTTAATACTGTGCTCTTAAAGAAGGTTTGGCAGGTGATGAGAAACCTGGATCGTTGCTGCATGCAAAGCAGTTCATACCTGGGAGCATCAAACATCTGAAATGGGAAAGGACATTTGAGGTCAAAGTGGCTCTTAACTCCTCTGTAAAAGGGGAGGAAGAAACTGATGGGCACGTTGTCCTTTTCTGTTGATGGGCATTGAGTGCGTGGCAAGGCAAATCGTGTCCTTTGCCCCCAGAAACTGAGGGAGAAGTCAACTGGCACTTTTAGGAAAACATTGCCTCACTGAGCTAGTTTTCCTCTTGCAGTTCTGATAGCTCCATCTGCATCTGCAATGTTGTTTGCTGATGTGCAACTGGCATGAAATTGTGGGTTTACTGTATCCATGCCGTGGAACCAGGGATGGGTGAAGGGGAATGTACCAGGATAAACCGCAGTGCGCCCTGCTCATCAGTCCTTAACTAAGGAAGAGAAAATTGTCTTTTCCAGGAAAGTGAGTGATGCTTTCCAGGCACCATTTTTCCTTCTGCCGCATCGTAGGAATACTTGTCAATTTGAAAATAGAGCGATGCGTTTAGTAGCCAGTCAGGAGACGTATTTAAGTGCAGCAGTGCTGATGGAAAGGGCTGCTGCAGCACTGCAGCAGCTCTGCAGGCAGGTGGGAAAAGGCTGCAGCCTTTCCAGTGGAGTTGTTAGAGCCAGAGAGCTCCTTCCTGCACTCTCCGTTCTGACTACTAGTGTTTGATTCTTGCTGTCCTGCTTCCTTCTAGTACTGGGTGCTTTTTACCCCACGAGGAAGAAGGAAAGGTCCCCCTTCACAGCCAACGCTAACTCTGTAATAGTTTGTGACTTTACCCGTGGTTTTGCGTCTTAAGGGTCTTCACAGCACCTTGTGCCAGCAACTAGGGACACAATCTCAGCTGAAAAGAGCCTATTTTGTAAATTCAGGCCAGGCTTAGCAAAGTAAGGCCCATTTAAATTTAAAAATAGAAGAAAATTCCAGAACACAGGTATTTTTCTTCCAGGTAACTTCGGTTCAGTGTGGATTCTGATGCACGTAGCTGCTCTAGTCCCATCTTGCAGACGCAGAACTCTCAGACAGGGAGACTTGTCCCAGGCCAAAGGCAGTTAGGGGTCAGAATCAAAAGTGTCTGACACTCCTACGTTCACTCAGGCCAATATGCCACTTCTCTCTATTTTCTAAGCTAATAAGATAGGACAGCTGGCAAACTTCTAGTCTGCTCCTTGTTTATCCCCAAGAATGAAATCTTCTGTTCTTTGCTTTAAAGAATTTGGGGTTATGGAGTAAAGATAAGAAATGTCTCAGCTTGCAAGCATTAGAGGCATTTTTGACTGTTGTGTTGCCCCAGGCAAAGCTTATCTAATTCAAGCTCTCTGCAGACATTTGGCTGTCAAGTCATCCTGAAGACTTCTGGGAGGGAGAGGCTCTCTTAACTGTGAAAGTTTTTTGGGTTTTTTTTTAGACATTAAAAAGTGAGTCAAAGAAGCATCCAGCTCTCTGAAAACGTTACCGAGTAAAGCAGAGACTCGGCTGCTGTGCCCAATGGGGGATGCTGGTCTCCTGCGTGCTGTTGGTGGCAGCTGTTCTTGTGACCCAGCTGGGTTGATTCCTGCTAAGCAAAATGTGGTTCCCCATAGTGGGGTGAAGTCACGGAGACTTTCTGCTCCTTTGCCTTTCCTAAAGAGTTGTCTCAAGTGTCTGTGTTCCTGCCTGGATGTTCCCTTTTTGTCGTGCCAGTATTTCTAACTTTACCTGATGGATTACTTGGCAAAAGGGAGTCAGTATTCTGAGCTGACCAGAGTTACAGTGGGTGGAAGATGGTACTGCCTGGGACAGGCAGCTGTCCTGAGGCTGCTGATGAAGAGCAGCACAGAGCAGTATGCCAGATTTTGTCTGCGTCTTTGTTCCAAAGAAACCATAGTTTTGTTAAATGAAGCCCGTCAACAAGTAAGCAGACAGAGGAAAGGAAAGCTGTAAAGGTCTGTAAAGCTCAGAGGTTAATCAAAGATACATATGAATTGAGATGTTTTAAATTCTCTGACTGAGGGAAAGTTAGTGGGATATGGGGAGAGGAAATGATTTGCCCAAGACTGGAAAAAAAACCTTCTTGCAGAGAAGCCTTCATTGCTGCTCCTGGTTTTGCTGCTCATTAGGACATGCAGATGGCTTTATTTTTACAACTGGCATTTAGTGTTCTCTGAAGCCCAGCCCACTCACTGACCAGTATGTTGTCTACCATGGTCTTGAGCGTTTCTACAGCTCCTGTTTCCTGGACTGAATGCCAGCAGCATGGCATAAAAGCTTGAGAATATGTCCTCCAAGATGAGCTTTTGATCAGCTCCTCCAGTGGGGAGTAGCAGTGGGCAATTCAGCTCCAAAACTTCCCAAATCAAAGATGGTAAATTGCTCCATTTGAAATATTTAGCAGATGTTCTTGAAATAGTTAGCTCACCAAATGTGCTTCATGGTGGAAGGTGAATTGTCAAGAGCGTTGCCTGGCAGGCTAGGAACTGGAATGGGGCTAGGCACTGTCAAAGGAATTTTCTGATGAAAGAAAGGAAATTGTTCCTGCCACTTTGATTATTTTCAATAAAGTGGCTCATCCTACATGGATGTGAGCAAACTTTCTGCCCGCGAGCTGAGCTCCCTGCCCCAGCAGCGTCTCCTGTGGCATGCACGCAGGGAGCGGTTTGTCAGGTCACCTTGCTTTGAAGAGTGATGCTGAAATAAATTTCCTCTTGCTGCAACGGTTTGATTATTACATAAAAATGCCATTGCAATCCTCCTGTTTTGTGCTTGCCAGCTGCATAGCTTTAGAAAAAGGAATATGTGGCCAAATAAATGGCCCAAATGAACCCCAGTTCCTAGTCCCTGTTTTTTGCTTCTGTCTTGTCCCACCTCTCCATTCTTTTAGCTCCACTTGCTCCAATTTTGAACCTACGTCTTTTGTCAGGCTTGTCACAAGCAACAGCTGTGATGGTGTAGTTAAACCTAAAGTCCTGATCAGTGTTCGACTGAGCTTGAAATGGGCTGTCTGCTGTGGAGGGACAACATGGAGAAATGTTTTTAGAAGAGAGAAGAGGAAGCAGTAAAACATCCTGCTTCTGGAAAAACAAACCAGGGACTTTTCAGTGTCCCTAACTGGAGGAGGTGAAGTGCAACATCTGGTGCAATAAACACAGTAAAACAAAACTGACAGCATTCAGTCAAACTAAGACAACTTTTTCCTTTACAGATCCACACAGGAACGTCTGCACCAGAACCATCAGTGCTGGCTACTTTCTTCAGCCCTGTAGCACAGGGCTTGACAGCCACAGGAAAGATGGAGAAGCCTGGGCAGCCGGAGAAGCCTGGGCAGCCAGAGAAGCCTGGGCAGCCAGACGATGCTTCGGTCCATTCTCACTCCTCAGATGTGCTGCCCACAGTCAGTCCCGTGCCACGGAAGAGCACAGCGAAGCTGCAGACAGCTACGCCTGTGCCAAGTGGAGTTCCCACGAATGGCAGTGCTTCGACAGTCCGGACCAGCACTGCTGTGTCACCGAGTACTGCTGCCACCACACCAGGTGAGAATGCAGCGCTCCAGCAAGCGTCACCTGTTCAGGTTTTGTTGACAAGCCATTGCAGCATTGAAAAATCCAAGATGATTTCAGAAATTGTGGTTGCTTTGGGAAAAGTGCTGAGAGCTCCATCTTTAACTTGGATTTTTTTTGTGCCTATCTCTGAAACATTGTCTTTGACAGGATCAAACTAGGGTAAGGCAACTTGAATTCTTGTTTTCTATGCATAGTTCCCAGACTCAACAATAAGACAAAGATAAAGCAAATGGGAATGGAAGAGGAGAATGAGGAGGCTGAGAGGTACTCTTAAGAAATGCGGTCAACTTTCTGTTCACCTTAATGCTAATAACAACCAGAAAATAATATGTCACTGGCCATAGTTTTCAAGTCTCTACCTTGTAGTCTTTAAAAACAGGCTACCTGTCAATGTATTTGTCATGGAATGGCAAGAAAACTCTTAAGCAGAGGTTGAAAAGAAAATATAAATTAAATGACCAGTATTTTGAGTTCCCATACTCAGTGTAGTCGCTGTGCGGACTTTTAAAAAAATCTCTTAGCCCTCAAGCAGCTTTTCAAAAAAGAAATACCATGGATTCTTCATATATTTGTGAAGATCTGAAATCACAGTTTGGTAGATAGCAATGTTCTGTCTTGCTGTGCCGTGAGGCTGCAGCTGAGTTCTCTGCCGAAAACCCGTCAGGTGAAACCCTTCCCATCCTGCTGGACCCGGGTGAGCAGATTCCCTGTGCGGGGCCCGAGGGTCGCGTTTTGGCTCTTTAGAAAAGGAGCAGGAGCTGCACAGTATCTGCAAAGAGAGAGGGATGACTGAGTAATTTTGGGCTTGTCTTAAAATTGTAGAACTGCATTAGTGCTTTTGCATTAACAATGAGAGCAAAACCTGAAACGGGAACTATGCTGGGTGGCAGGGTGTTTGCAAAATACAGCCATTCCAGGCTGGTTTTTATTCCACGGACTCTGAAGCCAAGGTGGTTTTTATGTACGTATGTAAATTTTTTTTTTTTTCCTGTTCCTCTTTCAATTCTGTGTTTCTCCCTCTCAGTTATGAAGGAGCTGGTGGTTTCTGCTGGAGACAGCGTGGAAGTGACCCTGCCAAAGAACGAAGTGCAGCTGAATGCATTTGTTCTTCCCGAGCCACCACCTCGTAAGGCTTCCCCAGGAATTCTGCTGAGGGCTTGTGATGGTGAAATGGCAAATAGGTGTTTCACACAGCCTTAAATAAGGACAGTCTTGAAAATGTCTCTTTTGTCAGAGGATGCTTTCCTGTAGAAATCCTTCATCCTGTGCTATTACCTTATGCTGCCTCTCACAGAAAATAGCAAGACACAGAAACACTGAACGTGCTACAGAGTCATAAGATTTCGGAGATGGCATGTTCTCAAAGTTGTATGTGTGGAAACAGTGAATCTTCAGGAGCTATTGGTGATATTTGCTGATAGGTGATAAACTGCCTGAGCAAGTGATCTCTCATTTGGTGAATTGAAACCTGTTTTGGGGGGTTGACATGCTGAGAAACATATTTCTATACATTCCTCGTTTCGTCATGCAGATTGTTCACAGGTATTTGTAAGGTTCCTGTCCATAGCTCTGTCCACGATGGCCGTGGGAGCCTGCAGAGGAGGGGCAGGCATGTTACGTGTTGTGCAGCCACAGGGACAGAGGAGATGCATTCCTCCTCAAAAACTGGCATTGTATTGTGTCTGCAGGATTTGAGGGCACGTTTTTTCTCTCATTATCCTGGGAGCTGTGATTGTTCCAAAGCTCTTTAATGCCTCAAAGGCTGAAAGATGGGTTTTGGCTCCAGAGTAAACGTGTTTAGAAGCACAGATTGTCTCTTTTCCTGGGTATATTCCCAAAAAGCTGCTGCTCAAATTCCAAGCTGTCTCATTTCTCCATAGTGCAGCAGAATGCGCCTTGTAAATGTTTAATATCTTTGCTTTTCTTTAGCATGGCAGAAAGGCAGCCTTTTAAAAATTAACATCTGGACCTGGGTTTTTTTTGTTTTTTTTTTTTTTTTTAAGGAACCACTTATTCCTACGAGTGGGAACTGATTACTCATCCAAAAGACTACAGTGGAGAAATGGAAGGGAAGCACTCCCAGACCCTTAAGTTATCTAAGGTAAAGCTTTTGCTGCTTTGTATCCTGTTGCGTGAAATGCTGAGTGGAGAAGCCTGGGACCCTGGCAGCCAGGAAAGACTTGTATGTGATTTCAGGATGAATAGGAAATTGCATGATGGGCAGACAGCCAACATTTGACTGCAAGCCCTCTTCTAAGTCTCTTATGAAAAGGAGATTGATCTGGCGTGAGGGAAAGAAGAAATTGATTTCGGGATCTAAAAGCTGCCTACAAGCAGTGTCGTGCCGTAGAAATGACACAATTTAACATTATCAGAGGGTTGTGAGTATTTCTGCTACTGAAACAGCGTGGTGGTCTGTGGAGGTCTGAAGCCCTGTAGTACCCACTGAAAAAGGGACTCGCTGATTCCATTAAGGAGAGCTGCGGAATACGTGATAGCGCGTCCCTGGCAGCTGCTTTTAGACAAGCTCTGACAGTGAAAAGATGGCCAGTTTCTGCACATGGGGATTCTTAACAAGGAAATGGCTTTAAACACTGCGTGAATGTACAGTTCTGTATTTGAGATGTTTGTTTGAGACATTTGTTTGAGCCATTTTGGATTCTGCTGTGCTTGGAAAAAATCTGCAGGCTTTAGTCACAATACCGTGCAGAGAAAAGCCCTTTGAAAGGAGCGAGTCTACCTCTGTCAGGGTTTCAGCCTTTTGGATATCATGATTGTTGTCCAGCAC